TCCACCGGTTCAACGGGTATACCTATGTTTGTACATGTATATTTATATTACATACGAGACACGTATAATCACACGCGCGTGTATATGGTATTTGCACTGGTGCCCCCCCCCCCCCCCTCGCATAGATTTGTCGAAGCATATATATGGCGCACAAATATATATGTATGTAAGTATGTAACATTTCCTCGGAAATCTTAGCGGTACTCTCCCAAAAGACCCGTCCTCGCTTGCTCGTTCTCTTGTACAGCTCCCGAATACGTATTACACCCATGTACTTTCAAAGCACGCGCGTATATATCCGTATGTGCTTATCTAACGCGGATGTGTATGGAAGGTCGAATTTAAAAAAAAAAAAAAAAAAAAAGCGCTAGCATTGACTCATTGGTACATCTTGGCCGAACTCTATTATATCAAGAAAATTTATTCACTCCCGTTACTCCACTCCTGTGTGAGTGTCTGAAAAAATATTGTTTATAGAGATCAATAACTTTAGTACGTGCATCGGAAGCAAATTTCGTCAACGGTTTCCAAATGAAATAAAATTATCGTCAAAGTCAAAAGAAATAACAACATTACAATTCAATAAACAGTCCACGAGCTCAACATCGATGTAATAGTGTAATCGAAAGATCTGTACAAAAGTTACATATATAACAAAATCGGGGGGGGTTTGATTTTTTAGGCATCAAATGCGTAAAAGTTATAGTCACTTGTACAATAATTGGAAAAACATATCTCTCCCAAAAGAAAAAAAAAAAAAAAAATGTGCCTTTATGCATTTAGAAAAATTTAGAAAAATTCTATGAGCAGCGATGGAATTCGTTTCGCACCGATGCGTGTATATATTCGCTGTGTGCCAGTGGTGGCCGCGTCAACTGAATTTTCTCCCATTCAACTTGGCACGAAAATTCCGGCGAAATGGGGACAGCACTGAACTTGCACACCAATGCGTGTATATATTTATATGTAACACGCATGAATAATACGTATTTCACAATTGGGTATCATTAGAGAAGGAGAAAAAAGAGAGGGGGAGCGCGCAGTGGACATGCACTGAATACCTATGGCGAGTCCCCTCCTCTTCTCTAATATACAACACAACCGGCGCCGGATAATACTGTTAGATCTAACTGTATAACCCAGACCTACTTTTGCCCGTATAATTTTACCTATGCGTGTATACCTATCTGTTGTATATTATATACACGCCGCAGCGTTTGCCCAACTAAACAGACCCACGGCGCAACTTTGGAGTGTACACGTATATATATATACATACAAAAGCAAAGCATGCGACTCTTTCTCTGTAGGTCGGCTCCTTTTTTTTTTTCACTTCGAGTCACACGAGAGGATACGATGCAGGTGGCTTGTGAAACCACCACGCAGCTTTCGTTTTTTTCTCTCTCTCTCTCTCTCTTTTGGTTAAATTACAGCGGGGGCGTTTTTTTCCTCTCTCACCGCCTTGCACTTACATGTACAACGCGAGTGGGATTATGACTCTCTTTGTTACATTATACAATATATATATATTTATGCAGTGTGTAACCGCGCGCTTACACTCACGGCTGTTGTTCGCCTTGATTTACGATGTGTGCATGTATATACGAGCGCGATAAGTATTATAAAGATATACATACATTTTTATCATCGTACGTCGTGTGTTTTTTTTTTTTTTTGTTTGTTTCGTCAAGAGTCTGATGAGCAATCGATTGTATAAATGTGAATACCAACAGACAGCGCGCACTGATTTCTCGCTCGTCTATATGTATATATACACCTACATCGTGAGGTTTATTAACTCGTTCACTGTTTTTTTTTTTTTTTTTTTTTTTTTTTTTTTATACAATGTGGGTAAAATCATTTGAGTGATTCATCAAACTAATTGCCATCGATGCCGGTGTTGCCGTTGAATGGAACGTCAAGCAAAACAAAAATTCGCTCTTTCGACTGAACTAAGATGTTATAAAATCTTATTTGGTTCCGTAATTCTGACGAAAAAAAGCAAAATGAGTTGGCAATGAGTTTGGAGGTAAAAAAGAACAAACAAAAAAAAAAATATTATCCAACAGTCAAAATGGATGTTTGCCAAGCGTACCAATTATACGTTTTACCTGTGATGCATCGTTTATCGTACAGGTTCACGTTATATTTTCATACATAATAAATATATAGGTGTACACATATACACGCGCATCGGAGGTGGTGTAAAGATAGAACACACAAGGCCGATACAGCGCCTGTGACGCTCATCGTGAAGTGAAAAACAAGAAGAAGCTCGAGGAGCGAAAAACAAAAAAAAGCACACGAGCCAGGGGGAAGGTGGCCAATATGAAAAGATAAAACCCGAGGTGCCGTGAATCGATGTATTTTATTATATGGGGTGCACACAACGAAAACGTACACGAGATGCAACAACGACAAAGACGAAGACGGCGAATTTGCAAGTCTATATACGTGTACATTTCGTGTTTATCAACAGCCGAGGAACGAGTCGACATATTATAATTAAAGCGAGCACAACTAGATAAGGGGCTGACGGCTCCACGTTTGATACTTTCATTCTTACATATATTTATATACATGTACATATATACATAGGTTGGCTTCCACGTGGAGCCGGAAGAACGATAAACTGCACCGACACAGCTCGCGGATCGATGTGCATTAACAATAGTGTATTTACACTTGTGCGCATACCACGAGGGGTACAGGTGTATTGTTAAGTCACACCGTTGTCCTTTTTTTTTTTTTTGTGATTTATTAAACGCGTCATTTTCCCTCTTTGTTTGTTGATTTCATTTATTCATTCCCCTTTATACTGATAAAATCCGAGAGTAAGGCAATATTTTTATTTACAAATGGCCCAAGAGAGGTGATGTAAAGGTATATACCGTCTACGCTTTCGGTTTAATCGCTCTTTTTTTTTTTTTTTTTTTTTTTATCTCTTGCGCGCGTGCAAATGCTTTGCAAAACAATCGCGAGATAACAGATATCGCGATACAAACACACACCGTATACATTTGCCTGCGGCGTGGAATTTAAAAAGCCGTGGGTGAGACGCCACATTTCGGGAATGTTTGTTTATTTGTTTATCTATACATTTGGTGGGTTGTGGCCAGCACACATATACATATATACATATGTATCACTGCAGGTTGTTGCACTTTTGGCGGATCGAGGCACAAAACTTTACCTGCACACCGTACGACTCGAATAAGGTTTTTTTTTTTTTTTTTCCCCCCAACCAAGCACCACGTAAATATATCTGAAAACTCCATCAGCATAACACACCTCGACACGTGAAAAACAAAAAAAAATGTTCCTCTCACCCGCAAACGTATAGAGTATATAAACAACGCGACACAAGAGAGCGAATGCACCGAGAGCCAGCCACACACTAGATCCCGCGACTCTCCTGGGCGTGCTCGAGTACAGCTGCATCCCTCCTATTGTAAGCACGTGTATATACGTATATACATAGATATTACATACATACATAGATATATGTTTTTGCACATTCGCAGATTATTCGCCGATGCAGCTGGCGAATGCGCGCGTTCGGCGCACGGGATTGGAGTGCAGCGGATCCTCGGAGGCCCCCCTCCACCCACGTGTGCCCTCTCCGCTGTATGTGTATATATGCATCCCTACTCTCGCGAGAGTGCATTCGCCGACCAACGGAGTGAGGGAACCGATGCACATTTCGCACACGCCCTCTTTCTTTTTTTTTTCTTTTTTTTTTTTTTTTTTTTTTCGCAACGAATAAGGTGGAGCTCGAGCTGCTCGCTTGGTGATTCGTTCGCGCGTACATTGCGGCGCAGAAGAGACATGGACGACGGGCTTGCGCGTTATACAGGTGCAACAAGTGCCTTTTTTTATTTTTTATATGTTTGGTCAACAAAAATTGTTGGGTCCTCGATTGCTTTACTTGCGGGGGGGGGGACAGTATAACCACTATAACGTACCAATGTCAGACTGGAGGGGGGATTTGGAGTTTCATTTATTACGAGAGCGAGGGTATTGCACCACGTATACGTGTAGGCGCATAATCGACAACGATCCGCGTTAGATTATTCGGTCTATGCGCGGAGCCTTGAAATCAATGTATATAGTGTTGCGTGAGCCTCCGTAGCTCTACATGTGATGTACTTCGGCTGGATGATCCGGTTATTGAAAGGGGGGGGGGGGCATCGGAGAGAAACGTTTTTTCGGTCCATTGGGCAACTTTTGGCTTTTCATTGGATGGAATTTTTTTTTTTTTTTTTCATGCCTTCCAAGCTCGGATACAACATTGGGTTTTTATTTGGTTACGAAACTGTTTTTCTATGGGATATACTATGTAGGTGAAAATGCAACAAGAAACCATACTGTTTCAGTCTACCTGTAATATTGTAATATATATTATTAACCTCCTACATTAATTAACCTTCTACAAATACACTTTGGAGCAAATATTGGACTTACCAGATCCAAGTAGTTTTTTTTTTATTTTTCTCCCCATACGTTTATACAAATAAAGTACGTATGGACACGTAGACGTTGCGCTTTAGTTTCTACATGGAGTGAAAGTTTCTCCCCGCGTGGGTCACGTTTTTCAGTTTGGCTTCTGTCTACATGTATGTATGTTTACACGAGACGCTCAGCCTAATTCATCCGGGCAGCAGCTATTACGACATTCCTAACGATCCGATTTTTGTCATTTGGTGTATAATACGGTTGAAAAAGTGTTGTTGTTTTTTTTCCTCTTTCATGTGCATGGTTTCGAATATTTTGAAAATCAACACACCTCCGACGCCTATATACGTTAACCACGAGTGCCATTATAATATACGAATTGCGTGAACTGACGTGTAAATATTCACATCTTATGATATTCCAAGACAATGAATAAAAAAAAAAGGGTATCCCGAATGAAATAAACGTGGTATAAGTATACGTGATGTGTAAAACAACAATGCAATAAGTATAAAATGTGTATATATATAGACAAGAAGACTCACCCTCGCAGAAGAGCGTGACATCGGTGAGGCTCTCGCTCCTGAATAGGCTAGCGAAGGTATTGGCGAGGTTGTTGCCGAAACTGTTCCACTTGAGGCAGTACTGCTGCTGGGGATCCATAATACCGCCGTTCGGGCCGACCCCTTGACCTTCCTCGACGGCGCTTCTCTCGCCCGTGCCCTCCACTATGGAATTGCCCTCTCTATCGCACCCGTGCCCGACTGCTCCACCAGCTGAAACACATCACCAAGTCGTCCCGACACCCTTGATTCAGTCTTTCTCATATGCTTATACTTTATATATATNAGTCAAGCCGGCACATATACGTACACGGAGAGCGCGTCAAAATCCTTTCTCCTCCCTCTCCCCGATGCTCCTTGCCACGGTCCATGGCACATATATATATATATATATATATAGGTTTATAACGTATGTATATACAACCAACCCCCTACCCCTGCACCTCCTTCCCGAAATATATATATATACAAATGACTATGTATAATGCAATAATATGTTTCTATTGGTCGACGATCACGTGTGTCGTCAAAGTCGGTACATGTACCAGCTCGTACGTATATATAGGCGAGTGTATAATTTGAGTTTAATTGCATATCGACGGGTAACATGACCTGTATATATTATACACATGTACATAATAAGTATGGCGTGCGCTGATAATACATACAAACATATGTATATATACACGCTACATGTTTATCATCGATTTACGGGTAAATGATGAAATTTTCCTCGAAGCACTTACATGTATACCTATCCATACGTATAAATCTATACATACATATATATACTCGTATATGTACGAGTGTACGGATAAAAAAATGCATTGTATCGATGGCCGATCGATAAAGCTATTCTATTATTTATTCATCGATGACCAACACTTGAGTAAAAGCACACATGTATAGGGGCAATCAATCGATATTGGAGTATCGAGCGCATACCTTGTTACGTGTATATATTTGTACTTGATTTATATTATTTCTAAAGCCACATTCGTATACAGCAGTATATAATATGCCGTCGTCAGGTGAGTCAAGCCCGAAATCATTTTTTCTAATATATATACGTGACGACTAAGATTGCAACGTGCTATTGGTATGTAACAACCATTGCAAAACATAATGTACATGTTCGGCGGAGAACTGCACCGGATTATGTGTGCGCACAATATATGAATTGAGCAAAATTTATGTGTAATGATTCCTATATATGTATGTGCATACAGTGGAAAATCACAACTTTTGTTTTCTTCCCTATCACGAGAAAAATTTTCCATAGAAATTTGATTGCTCTCTATCAAGCGATTGCGTGTACATGTACATGTGCGTGGCGTATAATACCGATTTTCACAAAAAACACCGAGAGACGAAATTTCATTGTCCGTGAAAAATGCACTGCTACGTACATGTATATACGATTGTTATCGATACCGGCCCATAGTCGAGTAAATAAAATATGTAATAACAGGGGGGAGGGGTATATCTGACTCTTTTGCAACAGACCGATTTTTCCCACTATACATATACGTACAAAAAAAGCGTAAACCATGGGATTTGGGAAACCCAAGTACGATTTGGCAGCCTTTTTTTTATCACTATACACGACAACTCGTACTTATATAATATTATGTACTCTCGTTTAAAAATCACTCTAAAAGAGCTTTTTTTACTCTGCACACAAAAGTAATACATAATTATCGTTATTATTACACGTATACGAGGCACGCGCGGGTCGTCAAGCATATATACGGCGCATGCAAGTTTATCGACGCACTTATCGCTTGTGCACTGAAGAAAAAAAAAAAAACGGGGTGGGGGGAGGCAGTGGGTTTCGAAAATATAAGGCAGCACACTACTGACACAGTGCCCGAGTATTTTTAACTATATATCGCCCCGTGTGTCTACATGTTGAAGCTCCGAAAAGAAAAAGAAGGAAATTTCTTCTCGTACCCTATACTCTCTTAATTTGAAATAGTGGCGAGTGTATGCACAACTTTTTCGAAATAACAAATGTAGACTAACTACATTTAATCAGTGAAACGGTCGATTTCACTGTTTCATACAGTTGCATATACTTATTTGAACTATTTCCCCCAAGTTAACGCTTCATTATTTATAAACCAGATGGGTATACAAACTAATTGTTGGTACACCACTCGAAGTAATATATAAACTCAAACTTGCCTCGTCGTGCTCCCGCGCGACTTGATGTGCACGGGTTGTACAATCACTTGCGCGAACAGTGAAATTTTCACTACTTCAAATTTATAGGGTACACTTGCTCTATATAAGGTACGTGTGCATTCTCATGCATCGCACCGGAAACCCGATCGGAGCAGCCTCTGATAAACGGGCCCTCGTTAACCGATCGCTCAACAGCGTTTTAAAAACAATTCCGTCTTTATTTATATTTTCGTCAAAACTCCTAATTAGGTCATCAACACGCGCACAAATATATGCAACGAACAAAGAAAAAGAAAAAGAAAAAAAAAAAAAAAAGATCCTCCATTCATGCGAGCGATTCTTGGCGAGAGAGGCGTTATCGCAAAACCGGTGCCCATATATTTATATACATACACGTAATGGTAAACACGCGCGCGTGCGAAAAGCAAAAACAAAAAAAAAAGGCAAAATACCGGACGGTGGTCTGACGAAGCGCCGCGGGGGCCGTTTCCTGCGCTCATTCACGTGGACCGGCCGGGAGCCGGTGCACTGGCCGGAGGACTGCCTGAGATGGCTCGAGGACGACTGGGGCCCATCCTCGTTCTGGTGGTTGTAACAATGGGCCGCCTCCGCGGCGAAGCGCGCGCTCGCCGGTGGCACGGCTGCGCCCCCGAGGGCCTTGTACCTCTCGTGGAGGACGGGCGTGAAGATGGAGCGCGCGAAACTCGGGGGGTGCTGCTGTTGCTGCGAACCACTCCCCCAGCGGTCCTTCGGCTCGGCGCTCTGCAGCTGGCGTTCCAGTATTGAAATTTTGAGGCCGCGGAGGGCCGCAACTCGGGCTCGAGGCCGGCGAGCTTGCGGCACCTGGCACTGGGGGACCCTCGGCCTTCCTCTCGACGCCCCCGTCTACTTACTCGTTGCACTTTGTTTTCCCTCCCTCTCTCTCTCTCTCTCTACTTGGTTTATGTTTCGCCAACTACGCACATGTATGTGTGTGTTTATACACGCGCACTTTGGGTCGCTATTTTCCTTATTTTTTTTTCCCACCCGCGCCAAAGTCTTACACCCGCAGGTATACACACCGCGTCGCGTTCAACTGTTGCACTTCACTTTGTTTATCCCTTTGGCGAAGACCTCGGAGACGTTGTACCTACCGGCGAGTCGGTTGGACAATGAAAAGGAAAAAAAAACCAGGCGAGCTTGCGGAGCTTTTCGGCCCGTCGGCGAGGTGTTGGCGAAAACAAATAGGCACACTGGCGCGCGACACTTTGGGCCACGACAAAAAGAGGAGGAGGAGGAGGAGGACAGTCGGTCCGTGCAGCTGACGTGCGACGAGTGAAACGACGCGTACACACGGGAGAGTACACAGCCGCGCGAGAGCGGTGCGTGTCTATGAGCTAGCGTGCAACTCGGACTGGTCTATGGTAGGCGGCCATGTATACGAAGTAGGTATATAGAGAGAGAGAGAGAGAGATTATAGACACTAGAGCGAAACGGAGAAAAAAAAAAGAAGAAAAAAAAAAAAAAAAAAAAGAGGGAGAGCCGCCATGTAGCGCCTCCACCGCGAGGAGCGAGTGTGCGTCGTTGGTGAAAGAGGTGTATAGGTATATACGGGCGTGTGTGTGCGCGCCAGTGGTGGTACAAGTGTAGAGGAGGTGGTGGTGGTGGGTGGTGGCGGGTTATGGTGGCTCTCTCGATTTTCGTGTGCGCCTCCGAACGGCAAGAGAGAGAGAGAGAGAGATGAGAGCCCGCGGTGTACAGATTCACGCTTACGGTAGTACTTATATGCCGGGCCTCCTCGTGGCGCGCGTGCATACATATACGAGTACATATATAGCCCCCACTCCTCCCTCGGAGATACATAGAAGAATATCTTTTTTGTACGATGATATGTTGCTATTGGTGCGCGTGCGCTGCGCTAAATAGTTTGCCAAGTACTTGTTAAAAAAATACATAAATAAATAAATAAACAAACGATTAAGAAAAAAAAAAAAAAAATTGCGCAACCGAACGATTCCACTGGTTTTTTTTGTTTTTGACACTCGGTGCGTGTTTAATTGCTGCGAGTGTCACTAGTACGGAGGGTTTTTCGCCTACCGGCTGGAAAGTGCCTCTTTTGGGCTAGGAGTGGTGCAAGAAAATACCGTTCAAGTACACCGAACCGTGTCCAAAAGTGGCACTTGCTAGCTACAGCTGAAAGTTGTCAACTGGTACTCGCACCACTGGTTAAGTAGGAACTATTACAAAAATGCAAATAGAAAAGTCAAACAATTGCAAATAATCAAGACCTGCTGAGAATTTTTATCATTTAACTGTAATGGTACCACCTATGCTGGAAATTAATGGACACGAGAAATGATTTTATATAAAAAAAAAAAAAAAAAAAAAAAAAAAAAACACAACCCCTACGTGTTAAAATTAACAAATCAATTTTGGATGCTTAATATAATTAGTATATGGCAATTCATGACAAACTATACCTTTTGCACTTGATTGATATTATAATGATGAAAACGAATTACCTAAAGTATGATTAAAAAAAAAAGTCCTCAAAGTTCATCCATGCGTCTCTTTGTCGTACAAACTCCCGTACCATTGAACAAACGAAGCTCTGATTGATCCCAACCAACGTTTTTTTTTTTTTTTTTTTTTTTTTTTTTTTTCTTTTTTTTTT